GGTCTTAGTTTTCTCTTTGCTGTTGTATGTTTTAGGGAAGTACACTTCAAGTTTGGGCTATTCATGTCCCCAGATCCTTCGCATCTTCACGGAGTTATCATTTTAGGGACACTTTTCTTTCTTTGTTAGTACATGCAGCATGCAATCATACCAATTTCGGACGAGCACTGATTTGCACCAATCGAGAGTACTATTAAGTGCAAGACCTTGTTTTATTTAAGGCTTTAGAAATGGTTAAGGAAACGCATAATACCAATCTGAACGTCTTACTTAGGATGTGAAAACAACGAAAGATTGGGTGGAAGGCCTACATAAGAAAGCAGATCTTTTATTCAGTTTGGTGACTGCAATAGAAGCTAGATTAGCGGCCATAGAAGCTGGAATTTGCCTGGTCCCTTTATCTGTTAATGATCCTCGCAGCCAACCCCCAAATTACAACATTCCTAATGTTCAATTACCGATCCGTTTAGCACCTCCACAGTTTACCAACCACAGTCCCTACACACAGAGTCGCCCCATAATCGCATCTACGTCCACTTCAACAAGCACATCCGTCACACAGCCCATACAGTCTTTCCAACCAGAATCCTGCGCACTCGATGATACATTGCAGCCAACACTGGTAACACCAAATCGTCGTCTACAACCGTTATCAAGCATTTCCCCCATCGTTTCCAATCTGCTGAAAGAGACTGCCTGTAACCTAAAGAAATATCAACAAAAAGCGTCTTTGAGAAAGAAGTACACGAGGAAATGTTTGGAGGAGATTTTTAGTGCAGATGAACTTGCTTCTTCTAACTTAAGTGGCAACGCGGGCAAAGACAAGCTTGATGAATACAAGGCTGGACTCGTCAAACGTGAGTATTGACAAATCAACATAATTATATCGACCCTGTTTATGAAAAGGGACTCGGAGAAAGCCATTCTAATAAGACCACTGTTATACATCGGATGAACGAAGTCGATAAAATGCTTTGTTTGGTATGTATACCTATTCAAAAGCATTTAAAGGTGCCTGGCGTGTGATTTTACGGTGAGAACTTGAAAATGGGCAAGGATGTACGAGGAATAGAAGGAGGGAAATGTGCTTGTAGTGAATGCGAGGATTTCATGAGGTCAGATGGAGCAACTTGTGGCTATTGTGTCCGTTTGCCAACTCGCCATTTTTAAAAGGATACCCGCTACTCCTCTGACTCTGTTTGTGGCACATCGGCTGCGGGAACAAGTGAAAGCGCAAGTCCAGAGAAGTGGAAAGATGAAGATCTAGGGTGGTTCCCAAACCCAAAGGGCAAATATACTGAATTCTCAAATAGTATTGTGCCAAAATTCTACCTGTCCTTTTGGACCACTTGTCCCTACAAGGAACGCTTTCGACACTGTTTCGTGACTGAAAGAAAGTGCCAGTGGGAAGTTCGCGAGGCTTTGAAAGCAGTAAATCCCAGAACTCCATGCGGAAACATCAAAATATGGGTGAAAGTGGACATGGGTCGAGAGGGATAATTACGTTAGTTGGGAGAAGATAGTTTTTTGACATATAAATTTTCCGACACCTGTAAATAATTTAGATTAATCTTGACTAGTAGCTTTGCTTGTATATACAAAATAGAAGCGACATGGGAGTAATTTTTTCCTTGCCAAAAAACTGTGACCATCCCCTGGTTGAGAATAAAAACTGTGGTACACATTTGTAACTTAAGAATGCAGAAAAACAGTCTTGATTGCAATTGCAGCAGAACCATTTCAGTAAATAAGAAAAAAGTCAGGCCAACAAGAAATGCAGACTTAGCTGCTGCTTTGCTTTTTGAATTGCTGGTGAAGCTTTTTTTGCTGGCCCCTGATCAAATTGTCTACAGCAAGCCTCTCTGTCTGGTATCGTTGCTGCATAACATCTGAAATAATAATGAAAATGATGAGGCATTAGAATGACAATAACTAAGCATGATAGTTGTGCTACCAGCAAGCTTACCTGCCAAGCCCTATGAAATTTCAAATGAGTTATGTCGATGTCCGAAATATTACTAATAATCATGTTACTAGGAATCTAGAACATACAGTATATCACGTCCAAGCTTTCCTTTTTCAAGCCCACACCCTCTGCACCATTGAGAGTGGTTCGCCCCTTGAAAGGGACGACTGTCTTACTTCTTCTGGGGTAAACAGATGGTATAGTAAGGTTTCAATCCCTCACGGGGCTTTGTTGTATTTTTAACCACTTGTAGCAGCTGGGTCTGGTCTGTTACGGGAAAAATGATTTCATCGCGTTAGGGAAATACTTTTCAATTACAAGTTATTTGCCAAATGAGTGGAGGGGAATATATACTCAGGGGTTTCAATAAAAACTGAAGTAGCCCGAATTTTTATTAGAGTAACCGACTGTGACAACAAGCCATTAGTACACTTTCTCTGGTAGGGGGGGGGGGGGCCAAAAATTTGCACGCCCAAAAACCCAAGCGGAAAGGGGTTTTTTTTTTTTTATTTAACAAAAATAAAGTTTTCTTTTAAATTTTTGCTTTTTTTTGCCGGGTATATTTACAACCGATTATCCCGAACGCCCAACTTGGAAAGGTTTCCGACTAAACGCCAAACAAAA